TATTTTGGCTCTGTGAACTGGACTGTAGTGGTGGACTACAGCTTTTTGCGCTGGACTGTAGCTTTTTGCGCTGGACAGCATTAGTAGCCCGGTCACCCGCTCCGCTAACGGACTTTCTGCGCCGGACATTAGTGACAGCGCGGTCACCCGCTCTCCTACCGGGCTCTGTGCACCGGACAGTAGTGGTGACTCGGTCACTCGTTCCCTAACGGGCTTTTTACACTGACAAGTAGTGACAGCTCGGTCACTCGCTCACTCGGTCACTCGGCATCGGACAGTAATGACAGCTCGGTTAACCGCTTACATAGCTATCCATAGTGGCAGTTCGGCCACTCACTGGCTTAGCGGGCTATTTTAACTAGAATGTAGTTGTAATTTGGTTAACTAACGGGCTTGTGCACTGAACAGTGGCGGTAGTTCTGTCTATCACTGCTTGGCCGGCACTTGTTTAGAAATTGTCCTCGATGACAGCGTTGGATGTGTAGTCGTTCTTGTCGCAATATTAAACGCCAACGGTCTGCTAATTAAATTGATTCTGATATTTTAATTAGTGTAATATACATACTTTCATTTTTTAACTATATTTTATTTGGTTTACGTGGCAACATTGCCTGGTTAAAAATACCACGATGATAATTATTATTATAATAATTTAGTTACATTTGGTGAAGGTAGTTAAAACTCTTCCGCTGTGGCGCTCGAAGCGGGAGAGGTTTTAAACGAAATGAATACTATCTGGCCGGGTTTTCGATTACGGGCTTTCAGAATATAATATTGGTTTTGGTCAGTCTTTTCTGGTTTGCCCGCTCTGGTGTATCCCATTCGTGGCAATATAGATCTGAATCTTGATATTCAACTAAATGATTGTTAAGACAACACAACACCCTGGATGATGATTTTGCGAACTCGTGACATGGACAACTACTGTATATAAAGCTATGCAATACTTGTTTTCTGATATGTGCGTATTGTGTGCCCTTTTGGGCAACAGTTTCTCTGTTTAAACCTTCTCACTTATAATCGTGGATCAGATTAAATATCAACTAATAAGCCTGGCATTTATTTGTATAAAAATACTGTGGTGCCAAGTCGAAACCGCACTTTTTCGTAGTTATATGCTAATCGGATGCGACTTTCAATTTTCACTGGCTAAATTTAAGTTAATAATAAAACAAAACTTAAGACTTAATTGACAAAAATGTTTGTTGGAAATACGAAATTCGAACTTACTTCCTCATTTGAGTATCAATCTTTTTCTCAGTATTTCAGCGGAAACGAAAGTAACGATTAACAAGGTGCATGATACTTTTCCAAATACGCAAACGTACAACACCAAACCAACAGTACTCGTATGGTTCTGAAGACATCAACATTTTTAACGTGGCCAAAGGTCCGAAAGGATCATAACTTATTCGGTTAAATATTAGGCATTATTGTGATGTTGCGCACCTCCTCTGGCTAACGAAAAAACGAAACCACCGTACAACGGATTGTTACAATATACATGACAATCATAATCTTCGGATTTTTGTAAATCTAGATGACACAACATGAACGTTAAAGGGTTTTTTCAGAAAGGCACAAAAAGAAGATCAAAAGTTATAGAAAATGATACCAAAATCAGTTGCACCAAACAGTGAAGTTGAAACATCAACAGCATCGTAAACACCATCCAGTGAATCGTGCAAAAACTAAGACAACCGACATTTCACACACTCATTAAATAACTCACTGCACGATCTAGCGAGGCATCACGAGGCTGCGGTTCTGATGACATCATAACTTTTTTCCTTGGTCGAAAACCTGCGAAGATCACATCTGGCTCCGCGGGAGGGTGAGGCATATGGTGGTGCGCATCTCCACTTTCCGATTGGACTTTACTCGGTCTGGCTGCTGATTTCCTCTCTACGGTAACCTTTGGAGAAATTACACCTGTGGCTGCGGGTACGATAACCTGGGCTGCAGCTGTTCCGTCGGCGTTGTACACCGTAATCAGAAATGTGTCGCCCGGCGTCTGCCGCACTGTGTCGGAATGGCCCTTAGAAGGCGCACTCATGATCAGCTCCGGGAAACGCTCCGTTCCCTTTTCTGCGACTGGCGAAGACCTTTTAAGTCTATCCACCGAAGTACCCGAAAAGCGACCTTTACGTGATGCCGATTTCGAAATAGCCAAATGTTTCGCTGAAGTCAGTGGCGCAGGCTGCTCGAAACCATCCGAAGAATCATCTGACACTTGTACTTCGAGCCGGTGTTGGGGGTTGTGCCCTAACCTCGTGGCATCGTTGTATTCTGAGGGATGTAACCAGGTGGTATGCTGTTTGTCACTCTCTTCGCACATTCCGTCCGTCCGTTTTCCGAGTTTCGTCTTGGCGTTAACAAGAAAAGTGTCATCCGGCATCACCGGCTTCGGTACTGTTTCGGAATGATTTTTAGAAGGAGCACTCATTGTCAGATCTGGTAAACGCCGCGTAGTCTTTACTGCGACTGGCGAAGCTCTTTCGATAACTAATTTGTCCGCCGATATTCTGGTCTTATTCTGCTGATACTTACGTGATGCCAATTTGGTACTGGTTGAGCGTTTTGTTGACATTACTGACACAGGCAACTCGGAACTTTCCGATGCAATCTCTGCGCTGAGCTGGTTTTGTGTGCCATTCCGTAGTTTCGTACCTGCCATTAAATCGTAGGGATGTAACTGGATCTTACGCATTTTGTCCTTCTCGTTCCACTCAGCATGTGTTCGTTTTCCCAGCTTAGTCATGGCGTTATCCTGATACCGGCAATAGTACAGACCAGACCTGGGTAGTTAATTTTAACTATTTAACTTAACGCGAGTTTTTCTCGAGTTAACGAGTAATAACTTAACTTTGAAACTTAACTCTAGCGCAACTCAAAAATAATATAGCGCAACTCAAGATTAGCGTAACTCTGCGGATTCCAGTTGCTTTCAAAAATGAAATTAAAATATAGAAAATGTTATAAAAAATTCGCTCTGAACTTGGCCATGGATCGCTAAATTTCCATACTATTTTATTGCAAGCGCCTTTCGGCACAAAATTGCTTTACCTATGTACATTACGACCGCCTAAGCCTCTGGGCTCTGGCTATATGAATATGCATCGGGGAATGAATGCTAGCTGTGTTCGTTTAATCTGAGGTCAACATAAAAGTACTGGTAATCATGCGTTAAGTAAGGACTGCTAGTTTTCGGCGTATATTTTGGCGGAGCCTCTTGTTCTTCGTGGAAAAAATCACCCCATCTTTGTCCTGCTGTAAAAATTGTGAAATTCTGAATAGCGGTGAATATTGGTGCGTCGCATAATGACGCAGACAATTCGACGGCGACTAACACGGGTCGGCGTCGGATTATAAAGCTCTAGCAGCGCTCAGAAAACGGCGCGGAGCACTTTAGGGAGTTTTTTACGGAGCAAGCTTGTGCCAACGGGAGGTTCATGTGGTTCACAGCGAAATCACACGAAAATCTGTTTTCTTTGCATCTCCGCTACCTGTCCATTGGGGAAGCGAATTAATGCAGTCAACCGCTACACCAACTTTGGCACTCATGTATAGCAAAACGGCAGTACAAAAATGCGGCGTTACGTTGCCGGCGCTCTCCTGTATTCCAGAAGGGCTAATTGTTTTGGTTTAAAAAACGTAAAAAATGATCTGTTTTCAATAATTTGATAGTAGCGATACCGCTGCGCGTAAGAGATTAATTGATTGAAAATGATTAATATAAAGTGCCGAAATTTTTTTTATTGCGACTTAACTCGCGGTAAACTCGTAATTCCAGTTATTGCCGTTAACTTAACTCGTTAACTTAACTCGCGACCTGCGATTAACTCTTAACTCTAACTAAGGGCCGAAATTCCATAACTGCCCAGGTCTGGTACAGACATTTCTTCGGCAACCGACCATGAAGATAATCCTCTCGGTCCGAGGGATCTTGAAGTCCAAATCGCCAGATCTTACACGCGAAGTTCTTGGTTCCTTCTCTACCCAAAAGATGACGCAGGGCGTCTTGGCTTCTTTGTGAGACGGCTTTTTGCAGTACGGGCAGAACCAAACTTCTTTATCTCTTTTTTCGAGACTGGCAGTTTCACGGTGAATAGCGTTCATTTTACGATCCGGGGTGGAATCCAGTGACTCGAAACGTCTATCGGGCGTATCGAGAGTTGGTGCGCGACTAGGCGATAGTCGACGGTTACTGTCTTATCTTCCACCTTTACTGTCTTGCCTTCATGCCTTTCACCTAAAAGTTAATAAAGTCACATCACTTTGCTAGTTTACTTCATAGAAAGCAAATAACGCAATGTAGAAAGGGAGATGCTTGATTAATCACTGATTAATACCCGCGCGCAAGCGGGAACAACTTCAGAACCCCCAAGAACAGAACAACACCAGTGGGATGTATGGGTTGTTGAGAATCTGGAGACGAAACTCATACTCCGATGGCGAATGGTCAGTTGGGAAACCCGTATCTTGGTATTTTGCGCGGGGTGACGGACAGGAAACCCAAAAGACATTAACGGTTTAACACACAGTAAAAGCCGTGTTAATAAAAATTACATGCGCCGATAATGGAAAGGTCACCATTTAAGTTTAATTATGACGCAAAAGTTTGCGTCCACTACAAATGCAAATATAGGTTTTCTAAAGCGTTATTAAAACACACTTGCAAGGAGCAAAATATATTTCGGAAAAATTATGGTTACGTCATGTCTTTCTGTTGCAGTCTATTGCGATTTTCTCAGTGTGCGCTAACTACCTACTGAGTAGTACCGTACTTTCTACACATAGTATCTACAGAGACTGTAAATACAGAAGTGCTGTATATTTTATGCAAAATTTAATAACTTTACAAATTTATTTGTCAAGATTTTCATGTAATGCAGCGGAAACAAAAGTACCAGTGTGCGAGGTACGTTATCCATTTCCAGTTTATATACAGGTACTGTACAGCAAATCACCAAACCACGAAAAATCAAATTACACTGAATTCAAAATGGTGTTACAGCATGTGGACCCATGTCCATAGGGGGTATGGGTGTAACATCTGTATGAAGTCCACTGTTGCAGTATGGTACAGCAGCTATATTTTGACAGCTGCTCATCTCCGACCGGAAGTCGAATACTGTCCCTGCTGCGCAGGTTTGCAACCATGCCTTAATCCCCGACGAACCCGTGGTGCAGTAGCACCAGTATGGACTGCACTGTCCCAGGGAGAACCACCAGTTATTCGGTAAATCTCGTAGTTGGCAGTTCGCTGGATTGCACATGCCGGACGTGGCCGCTGGCGCAGATCCCCATGCCGTGGTGTTGACAGGCATTCCTGCCGCTTTCTGGCAGTTTGTAGTGCTGGTGGCCACGCACGTCCGACTGATCCCGTCGAAGACTTTCTCTGGACCGCACCCGTACCACGCCCCCGATCCACCAGTGCATTTACAATAATTCACACTGCACGGCGCGGTGGCGTAGTTGCCGATGGGCTTATTGACGCAGAATGTCGGATCACACCAATCAAAACCACCGGATGGACGACCGGCCACGGGGGCAGGCGTGGTGGCCTGTGTTGGCGGAGTTGTTGTTGCTCTTGTTGTTGTTCCTGTTGTTGTGGCTCTAGTTGTTGTTGTTGATGTCCTTGATGTTGTTGTTGTGGGCGTTGTTGTTGTTGTCCTTGACGTCGTTGTTGTGGGCGTTGTTGTTGTTATTGTTGTTGTCCTTGACGTTGTTGTTGTGGGCGTTGTTGTTGTTGTCCTTGACGTCGTTGTTGTGGGCGTTGTTGTTGTTGTTGGCGCCTGTGTAACTACGGCTGTTGTCATTTGTGTCGCTGCTGTGGAAGACATGGTTCCGCCGCAGACGGGAATGGTACTCGAGCTGGCGCAGCCCATGATACTGGCCGATGCATCATACGACTGACCGGTGGGGCAGGTGATGACTTTTGGCGCGTTGATGTTCACCAAGTCCCAACCATTAATCGTGGCGTTCCACACACGGTCCTGGTAACTACAGACGCAGTACTGGTTGGCGCAGACGTTGGCTGGTGTCATCGCGTACTGCAGACGACCCTGACAACCAACTGCATCACAAGGAATATTGTGAGTGATTGTCGTCGCGGTGGGGTTGACCAATCCCGCCACAATATAGTCCTCAATGCCCAGATGATTTATGCCGCGGATGAACTTTAAGATCCCGTTGCTGCCCCAGCCATAGCCCCAGGAATTGGCAATCAGCCAGTAGTCAGTGCCGTTTTCCGTGCCCCAACCGATCAGCTTCATTGCGTGACCGCCGGAGTAGTTGCCGGTTATATGTTGGTAAACTCCTAGAAACCGAAAGGTCACCATAACTGGTTTTATAATTTGGAAAATAAAGACCTAGAGGTCACACGCGGTTTGTCAGAACATGGGACATTACTAACCGGAACTGTATGAAAAAAAGTCAGCGTATACTTCGATGGTGACGGTCATTGGGCCGTTGGTCATCAGTTCATACTGAATCTGGCGAATCACCGTGTCGGTGGTGGCGATGGATGCGGCTGCTCCACCGGAATTGTTGGCGAACCTGTTCCCCAGTGTATACCAGCTGGAACCTGTAATGTGCAAGGCCGAAAGCTGATAAACGTTCGCTTAATTGAAATAACCTGATGCAAGTGAGTTTTATGCGGCACTGTCTTTCGCGACCTACCGTATGTTTTGTTTTGGCTGTAATTTATCGCGCTAGTAGAGCAGGTTTGAGTGCACTGGTTGGTTGACGTAGCTTTCGCTTCAGTCTCAGTGTATGAAGCATACGGCATGCATCCCTGGTTTGTCGTGCTCTGGTAGTCGCCACCGGTTACAATTCCGCTGCTGACGGCCATCGCGTAGGGTACCCGAGGATCATTTCCGTCGCTACAACATAATATGATCTTTAACAATAATGAAACAGTACCGCATGCATAAAGGATACGTAAGATTTAACAAAGATTAAGAATTGTTTACAAACAATCCTAATCGCAATCGTGATCTATGTAACTCTGCGTTTTTGTAATGATAGCTTTCTGGTTTAAAATTTTTGGGATTATTCCACTAAGGAATTTTGTCGGCATTACATTCACGTACCACCAATTCTTATTGTTTCCTCCACTGCAAACAACCACATCTTGCGCCGATAGTTTCCGGTAAGCGTTGGCACTACCGCTGGCAATGCAGTACCGGTCCGAAAGCGCTGAAGTGCCAGCTTGCGCCTAATAACAAGCAACATATTTAGCCCTTACACCATTAAAGTAAGTACTGGCTCGACCGACGTAATTTTATTACAGCCCACGTCAATCACTAGGCTCATAAAATTGTGTTTTGCTGATACACTTCATTATACAAATTCTGAACGTGTAATTCGTTGAGTCGCAAAAAGTTTCAATAAGTTACGTGGAGTTTCTTTTACGAAACTTACTGAAACTTCATTCAACTCAACGAATTACACCTTGATCTAAGCACCGGCTGATCTAAGGGTGATTTTTGTTGCTTTGCTCGGTATTGGCGGGTCTTCACGTAATCCTGCATTCTACTAACCGGTAGGTAGCATTTGACTAACTACATATATACAAATTGTCGGTGCTTACCCAACAAGAACCGCAAGCGCCTTGATCGCGGATCTCGTTCATGCTGATGCAGTTCGGCCACTGGCTGCGCACATCAAAACTAGCCGGCAGCGCCACGCGGAGACTGAAACGAGCCGGTTCGACGTGGGGATCATTCTTGGTAGATTCTTTTGTGGGAATTATGGTGCCACACAGGGATTTTAGTTCGTGATGTTCCATGCCGGTGAACTCGTTCTCCGCCGGCTCCCATTTGGCGCCGCGTTGCTGCTTCAGGAAATGCTCTTTGACTTTCCTAATTGAAGAAAACGACAATCTAAACGGTCAGCAAAGAAGGGTAAAAAATTGGCCTTACTGGATGTTGTCGCGATGCAGTTTATTCAGCTTCGCACCCCGTCTGGCTGCTACAACCGTAGCGCCCACTAATATTACGGAAACCATACAGGTTGTGATGTGCATGTTGCTAAAGCGGTAATATTATGTGAATTCGAAATGCTGAGTATCAGTACAAACTGTTTATGTCCATTAACATCTTCTCTATGGTTTAAATATGGAAGTTTTGACAAGCGTCTGTTGTTTTGTTTTTCGTACTGGCGCGGTAATTTCTACGTATTTCGTTTGCGGAATCAGTAGTTGTCACGAAGTTGTGCGGAAGCCTGGAAAGATTAACTGAACATGAGCCCTGGGTTTCCAGCGATAGTGTAGCTGCGAAATACTATTTTATGCCATAAACGGAAACCACATCACAAGTGGTAGCCTGAACTGTTATAATTTGTTGCGTGGCAGCACTACTTGCTTATTATAGCAAATTCTGTATGGTGCTGTTTCTCCGTCGGTAATTCCGCGTACTTGTAATGGACCGCCAACCGGTGTCGGAAAAGTCCTTATAAAATGTCAGAGAAGGCATTTTTAGCCAAAAGTTTTATCCCTTTCGTTTCGCCACAGTTGATAATACACTGATTGTGCATGCCGGTAAAGATTTTATGTCAGGCATCAATCATATACAGATTGATGCCTAATCTGTATATGATTGATGCCTAACATAACAGATTAGGCATCAATCTGTGCGGTGGCCTTTTGCTCAACTTTTGATCATCATGTAACACTTTTCGTTAATCCACAACCTTGTTCTGATCAGTTTGGCAGCAGAACGGAATTCAGCCTAAAAGGACCGATGATTACTTACTTAAAAGAGCGAGATAAAAGTATGACAAAGATGCCGCCGGCAGTAAACGTGTGTTAGGTGTGTCGGAATTAGGTTGTATGCTGCGTTGGCTCACTGGGTAACGCGTACATGTATAGCGTATACCGTAAATTCATTAAATTGTAATCTTTTTTTTTGGTATTAGATTTATGGTATCAGAATATACAGCCACTGCATCACCCAATCTTCGTTTCTTTATAAACTTACTAGGCATTTTTAAAGCTTTTTAACTCGCTAAACCTATTTATCCCGTATGAGCAAAGAAAATTGTTTGATGGTTTCGAAATCAAGGCTCTTCCTCTCGTCCCACTTCTTGAAATACTGTAAAATTAGTAGACTGTAAACAAGTGACAACACTAACTCTAAATGCTGTACCCAGAAAGAAACCGAACGGATAGAAAATTTAATGACACCCAAAATTGGGGATCACGTTGTATACGAGCTGGTCAATGCATCCTACTAGTTTCAAAACAAAACATAATTATTTAATTTTGCAATTCGAACTAACGGTTGATAAGCTAACTGGTAGCAGTAGTAAATCAAGTGAAGCGTCATTAAAAACATCATTTTTTTCACAAGCTCATCAAATAACTCACTGCACGATCTAGCGAGCGATCCCGAGGCGGCGCTTCTGATGATATATCTGTTTGTATTCGTGATCGAAAACCTGCAAAGGTCACCTCTTGCTCCGGTGAACGGCGAGTCGTATGGTGTCCAGCACCTTCAGTTTCCCATTCGATTTGGATTTGTATGGCCGCAGATTTCTTCTCTACTGTGATCTTGGGTGGAGAAGTGCCGCGTACGGTAACTTGGGCTGCTATAGTACCGTCAGCGTTGTACACCGTAACCAAAAAGTTGTCACCCAGCGTCGCCAATTTTTTCACGGAATCGGAAGGATCCTTAGGAGATGCACTCTTGTTCGTCTCCGGTAAATGCCGCGCGCTCTTTACTGCCACTGGCGAAGATTTTTTAATTAGATCCAGTCTGTCCGGCGAAGTACTCGGAAAGCGAAGTTTTCGTGATGCCGATTTGGTAATGGCCGAACGGTTTGTTAGTGGCACAGGAAGCTCGCAACTTTCCAATGAAATCTCGGAAACTGGGCCGTCGCGTCGCTCCTGTTCGTCATTCCGTAGTTTGATGCCATCTACTGTATAAAATTTTCGGGATCCAGTCTGTCCGCCGAAGTGCTGGAAAAGCGACGTTTACGTGATGTTGCAGATTGTGCAATGGTTGAGGGTTTCGCTGACGTTAGTGGCACAGGCAGCTTGGAACTTCCCGATGAATCTTCCGACACTTGCACGTTGCGCCGGGGTTGAGGCTTGTTCTGTAGTTTCGTGCATTCTGTAAAATCTTCGAGATCCAGTCTGTCCGCCGAAGTGCTGGAAAAGCGACGCTTACGTGCTGCTACCAATTTTGCAATGGTCGAGCGTTTCGTTGATGTCAGTGGCACAGGCAGTTGAGAAGTGTTCGATGAATCCTCTGACGCTTGTACGTTGCGCCGGTGTTGAGCCTTGACCCGTAGTTTCAGGCCTTCTTCAAAATCTTCGGGATACAATGGAATGGTTCGCTGTTTGTCGTTTTCTCTCCACACTCCATCTGTTCGCTTTCCGAGCTTCGTCTTGGCTTTATCCTGATAGCGGCGATAATATATACATTTCTTGGGCAACCGACCATGAAGATAATCCAATCGGTCTGAGGGATCATGAAGCCCGCTTCGCCAGGTCCTGCACGGATAACTGGAACGTCCATCTACACCCAGCAGATGTCCTATGGCATTGAAGCGCTCGCCTTTCCCGATCGACTTGTCGCAGTATGGACAGAACCAAACTTTACGATTTCGTCTGACAGCTCCTGGGTTTAAAGAATCCACCAGACGCTCCGCGGTGGATTCGTGTGAGTCCGATTGGCGTGCGGACATCCCGCGGGTTGGCTCGAGACCGGCAGCGGGTCGACGGTTTGGCTTGTCTTTCTTACACATGGCGTTTACCTTAAAACACACAATATTGTGCTTCACAAAAACTAGAGTTTACTAAGGCGCAAAACGGGTTCTCCGCATTTTAATAAATTTATCTAATGGGAACAGCGAGCCGCAGTGCGCTTAATTAAAAAAGCTTATTAATAGTTACATACCGATAAAAACTAAATCTGACATATTCTAATAACACATTCTAACAGTACCTAAATCCAATTCCCGAGACACGGTATCGGATATAGCCTTCTTGATTTTTGAACTGGTTCAGGAAAAAAGTGGCAAGTCGTTGTGTTATTTGAAAACACGTCGAAATTTTATGCATAATCTGGTTGTAATGGGCTTTCGTTTTAGACAACATTTGCAGCCCAGTTTCCAGCATCTGCCTACAACCTCCACTAATGCTAGATCCAGCAGTGATCCAGATACGGAGACCTAAACGGAATAGATCCCGTGGAGTGAGCTATGCGATAAGTATAGCGAACTACGCGGAATCGCGAAACGTCGCACCGCTAATAGCTGACTTTTAATAATATTGAAAATTCCGACAACAGAAAATCAACAATGATCGGCGCAGCTCGATCGTAAAGCGTGGAGCCCATTCAACAGTGTGTAACACTGTGCAGCACGTGCTATGCCGCGCCCACTAACACAACTCAAGCCAATCAGAAGAGACACAACACAGACACGTAATCCTAAGGCGTAGCGCCACAGGCGTAGCGCCACTGACGTGAACGCTAGTGATCCCGGTCTCACATGCCTCTGGGGGGATGCCGAGCTCCTGTGAGGCTGGACACACTCCCGAATCCACGAGAAGACGACGGTCGCCGGTGTCTGTGTGTGCTCAAAAACATCAAATTCTCTTAATCCATTTTATCACATCAATTACATAAAGGCACAATTTCATTTTAATACGATGTGAATAAAGAGATCCAATTATAAAAATACTATCAAATCATTAGGAACAGATCAACAATAACAGATCAACAAAAGTATTAATCAAATTGTAGACTAGGATCCTCCATTTCTGACTCGCAAAGGTCACAGGTCCTGTCCACCGTTTGCCGCACATTGGCCCATTCCGCTCTGTTGAGCAATCCTGCGCATCCATAATGCGACTTTCCATCACAATCCGCTTGAGAATCAGGTGCGTATCAAGTACGACTTAGGAATACTGCTTCAATCTTTAGAATCTGGTGCGTATCATTCGTACGACTTCAAAATGAGATCCAATAAAGGTCATGGAGGGACGTCAATGAAGACAAGCGTAGTTCGCTTCCTCCCTAGTAAAGGTCATCCTTTGTTGAGATGATCCGTTGAGATGTGCGACTCGTTTTGGGTTAATGGTCCCAAAGGTCATGCGACTTGAATTCCGATACGGTGACTCTATTGGGCAATTGATGATCCCAAAGGTCATCCCACTCGTCAAAACTTCTGTTAAAGGTCATGGAGGAACTTAGCCGATTTTCTGCGGCTTCAAGCACTTCTTTGCTTGCCTCCCTGGTAAAATTTGCAGTTTGACCTTTCCGTCGCACATCCAACTTCAATATGCCTCGAGCGGCCAGAGTGCCGGCAAGTTTACCGTAGCATCTCTGATGGGGCCGGCTAGTTACCGCATTAAGTTTTACCCCATGAAAATTCCATCTTAAATCTTTTACTCTTGTTCGCCGCTTGTGGCTTACGTTAGTACGAGAAATCCGGCTTGATTACCGTAGTTTTTCTCGTTTTAATTATAACACTGAATCGCTTGAAAAGAGTGCCGGCATAGTTTACCGTAACAACTCTAATGAGGCCGGCTAATTGCCGCATTAAGTTAACCTCATCAATATTCCATCTGTTGTCTTTCTCTTTTTCGCCGCTTGTGGCCCCGTTTCGTGTTCAAGAGATCCGGCTTGATTACCGTCGTCTCTCTTGTGCATTTATAACACTGAGTTGCTTTTAGAGGAGGGCCGGCTAACTGCCGTAGCAACTCCCTTGGGGCCGGCTTTATAGACCGAATCAATTTCAACCCCAATAGATATTCCCCATGATTTCTTTATCCTTTCGATTCTGTGCTATAAACGCTGAAAACAACAAGTACACGAACGCGGTTTCAGTAATATGTTACGTGACCTTTATACTTTACCATTGCGCCTAGTTAGGCTATACCGTACTGAACTGAGACTTTCGCATTCAATTCTGATTCTGATGACCTTTCGTTACTTTAACGTGATGACCTTTCCCGTGCTATTTTTCAGTCCAATCGTCTCATTCTAACACGGCGACCTTTCACGTTTTTGACGTTTCCACCAGTTCTCCAGCGATAACTAATTAACATTCAACTGTTTCTGATCTGTTCGCCATTATTCGAGTACAAAGTTCTTCCAGTTCTAAGTTGACAGCCTTGTAACTCAAAAGGTCATGTCGTTCCATTTAATCGACATATATTATCCATTGTCGCATTGGTTATGACCATTCTCCACGCATTTTGTTGTGCTCTGGCAGCATTTTTCATTTCGCTGGTGTACCGGACGTATCCCGTTTCTGGGGGAATGCCGAGTCCGTTGGTTCGGTTTCCTGACTCTGTTTCTCATCGGTTGTCTATCTCGTCGATGATCCGGACGAAGACTGAGTCGATTTCGGTTCGTCAGTCTTCTCTTTTACGGCTAAGTTTCGTGACCTTTCGGTTTCTCCGTCGCTGAAGCCTCTTTCAACAGTGTAAACCACGATTTTTTTTTAAACCACCTGTCGCGCGGAGACCGCTTCTGCATCTATTGCCGCTTTTTCTATGGGGAGCATGACCTTTTCTTTCCCACCTTCTTTCAAAGTCTCGTGACCTTTCGGTTGTTCCGTAGACACGGAACACTCTTGACCTTTAGGTTGCGCTTCCTTCTCCACGGTTCCAGACGTTTCTTGACTTTTAAACTGTTCGTCTTTTTAGTCGTCAGTTATTTGACCTTTCGGCTTCTTCAAATGTCTGACCTTTGCCATAACAGCCTCGTCTGGAGTCTGATGACCTTTCGGTTGTTCCCGCATTTTTCCAAATCCTCTTGACCTTTTACTTTTTCCGTTTGAATTCCAGTTGGAGTCTAGTGACCTTTCGAATGGTCGCTCACTTCTTCCGTTTGTTCTTCCGTCTGTGTTTCGATTTCACAACCTTTCGACTGGGCGACAATTTCTGATGACCTTTCGTCCCGGATGACCTTTGTGAAGACCGTCCTGACGAATTTGAGGACCTTTCGACCTTTCTGATGATTCCGGACTTTTGTGACCTTTTCGTTGTTCATTTGAATTTCGGTTGAAGTATCTTGACCTTTCGATTGACCTTTCATTTCTCCCGTATGATTCAGTCTGATGACCTTTCAAATTGACGACCTTTCTGGCTAGCAACGAAAACAATAACGATTGGCCGCTTTGCGTCGTATGGCCTTTATGCCTTCCCAACTCCTATTTTTAATGAAGTGAACCCCATTATTCATATTTATCAGGGTTATTTGTTTTCGCGTCCTTTAGTTATCCGATCAAGGAGTTCTTTCTCGGCTGCATCCTCAGGTTCGCCTTTCTGTGTTAGCAGTTCCGTAGGAGTTTGTTTCTTCTTCTTCTGCTTGACCTTTCGCTCATTGATTGCTTTCGCTATATCACGGCCCAATTGTTCAGCTTTTGATTTGACCGCCTCTATTTCCTCTTCTCTCTTTCTTATGAGGTCATCCTCATTGCCGGTAGCAGTGCGTGGTTCGAAAAAATTCGAATCGCGCTCTGATATCTCAGCGCCAGTTCGCCGTTTCGAAAGGTCATCCTTATCTCCGGTAGCAGTGCGTGGTTCGAAAAAGGATTGTTGCAAGTCCTTTTCGGAAGTACGCTCTGGTACTTTGGAACCTAATTCGGTCTCTTTTTCCAGTGACCTTTCTGCCAAATTTCCAGCTTCTGCGTTCAGCTTAATTGTAACTGCCGTCTCGAAGTCCTTATCTTCTTTCCTTTTTCTTCCTCTCTTCTTATTTGGTTTATCTCCGTCTTGGTGACCTTTGGTCTCTTCATTAACTTCATGTAGCAGAGGTGGTTCGAAAAAGGACTCTTTTTGGAGGGTATGCTCTGCTACCTGCTCTTTCTCGTCTGGTAAGGGCGGGTGCCATGGTTTCAGCCGATCGATCGAAACGACCTTTAAGTCTGCTTCTTTCTTCGGGTTCTGCTCGATGACCTCTGCTTCGTTTGCTCGCGGGAAGCTAAGGATCTTCCACACTTTATCGTATTTCGACTTAAAGTCCGACTGGTTCTCTTTCTTCCCTTGTTTCGTGTCCTTTGGTAATCGTATCAGTACGAGGTCGCCCACTTTGAAGTTCGGCTCCGATTTTTTCTTATTGTAAATTTCCGCATTCTTCTCGTATGCGTCTTTGATATTGCATTTCGCCACTTCTTCTGCAAAGGTCAAGTTCCTTTTCATGGTCTCCACCCATTCGTCTGGAGTTCCGTAATCATCGGGTATATTCGTTTTTGTAACCACATCTTCCGGCATTGTCATTTCTCTGCCGTGTAGCATATAGTATGCTGAATATCCCGTTGTGGCGTGCACGACTCTGTTCATCGCCGAAATAACATATGGGAGATACTTGTTAAACTTTCGCTCATTTCCCGCTTTTAGGTATTGCGCCAAGCCATCAGCAATCGTCTGCATCTGTCTCTCCACTTGGCCTTGACCTTCTGGGTGATACGCCGTTCCAAATCTGTGTTTAATTTTAAACACATTGGTGACCTTGCCAATACTTCAGCTGTAAAGTGTCGTCCGCGATCCGTATGCAGGATGTGCGGTGCTCCGTGTACCAATATCACGTGCTTCACGAACACTTTAGCGAATTCTTTAGCCGTTGCTGTTTTCATCGGTACCGCGATCACGTATTTCGTCAGTTGGTCGATAAATACCGCTATGTACTTGTATCCACGTTTCTTCGTCGGTAACAAAGGTCCTTTCAAGTCAGCATATACTCGGAAGAACGGATGTCCCACTTTAATCTCTTGCAATTTTCCGGGTGGACATTTCCTCGGTGTTTTACGGAACTGACATCCTTGACAGGCGAGTATGTAATTCTTCACGTCTGTACTCATCCTGTCCCAGTAATATCGGAGTCTTATTGCTGACAATGTTTTCTCAAATCCCAGATGTTGCTTTCTCGTCGTGCAATGCGTGGATTATTGCTCTTCGCATTGACAACGGTACAACATATGACCTTTCAAGTTTTCCATTTTTATCCTTTACTCGGTATAATATACCATTCCATAACTGGTAATGCACTTCAAATTTCGATCTTGTTTCCGCGTCTGGTAGGTGTTCGTCTATGATCATTGCCAGATGGGGATCTTTCAACTGTTTATTCCGCAATTGCAAGTTTGAGTCATCAATCCTTTCTCCGCTGCTTTATCAAGTCCAGTGACCTTTCCATTATGAACTTCGGCCTCTGCTTCAAGTCCGGTGACCTTTAAGTCACTAACGGTGGGCAACCAACTTTTTACACGATTCACATTAGCTTCTATTTCAGCCGACTCATTCGCCGTAGCTGAAGTGACCTTTAACCGTTTTTCTCGTTGTTCCACCATCTGTAGGAACAGCTGACCGATTTCGATTGCTGGTTCTTTCGTGTCAAATTCCTTTTTATAATCCTCGAAGTTTGGAATCTCATCGAATTCCTCTTCTTGACACGTCGGGCCTTCAATTGGTGCTCTTGATAACGCGTCCGCATTATCGCAGTACTTTCCCGGTTTGTATTCAATTTTGAACTGGTGACCTTGCAAGGCCATTGCCCATCTTGTCAAGCGCGGGTTCATTCCGACTTTGTTCGTTTCTGACCTTAAAAGGTTGGTCAGTGCCTGATGATCCGTCCTTACGGTGAATTCTGCGTAATCGATATACGGCTTAAATTTCCTGACAGCGAACACAACTGCCAGACACTCCCATTCCGTCACACCGTAATTTTTCTCCGCTCCATGTAGGACACGACTGGCGTACGCGATCGGATGTCCATCTTGTGACAGTACGGCTCCGATTCCTTCTTTACTCGCGTCGCATTCAATGACGGTCGGTTTCGCGGGGTCAAACTTTGCTAGTACTGGACCTTCACACAACAACTTCTTCAAACTATCGAACTCTTCTTCATGTACTGCCGTCCAGTCCTTTTTCACGTGCTTATCTTGTCTCAGCAGTTCATATAAGTGGGAAGTCTTCTGTGCGTATCCCATTATGAATTTGCGATAATAGTTCGCCAGTCCAAGGAATGACCTTAATTGTCTTTCAGTCTGAGGCCGTTTGAATTCGGAGACCGCGGTGACCTTTTCCGGGTCCATTCGAATTCCGTCCTCGCTGAGTATATGACCCAGAAATCCCATTTGTCTCATTCCAAATTCGCACTTGGTTGGTTTAATCGTGAATCCCGCTTCAACCAGACTCATTAAGACATTTCGCAGGTTCTGCATGAAGATCGCCCAAGTCTTTCCGGCGAAGATTACGTCGTCAATGTACCCGAAAACGCAACCCTTTCTTTTCGCTTTCGAAAGTACTTTATCCATACACAATTGAAATGTTGCTGGTCCGTTGCAGACTCCAAATGGCATTCTTTTAAATCGGTACATTCCATCTTGTGTTACAAAAGTCGTCTTGTTGATTGACGCTGGATCCATTGGGATCTGCCAGAATCCACTTTGTAAGTCCATTTTTCCGTAATATTTGTTGCCTGCACACGCGTCAAGCAATTCATCTGGGTTCGGTAGCGGATAATTGTTCTTTCTTGTTAACTTATTAAGCATGATATAGTTGACGCAAAATCGCGTTCCCATTGTTCCGTCGCCATTTTTCTTTACTGCCAGCACGACTGGGAAACTCCACTCGGCGTCTGACGGCTCGATTACATCTTGTGCCAACATCTCTTCGATATGCTTCGTTATAAACTCACGGCCTGTCCAACTCGTTCTGGCCGGGTTACATTTTACTGGTTTCGCATCTCCCGTATCGATTACGTGGGTGACCCCTTTCACATCTCCATACGGTTTCTTTGATGTGGGTAAGACCTTCTAGAATTCCCAGAATGCGTTGTACACGTCGTTTTTCTGCTCTTGGGTAAGGTCAGGTCCCAATTTCAAGTTTTCGATTATCTTTGTAAGTTCAGCTTTCGTTGTATCGTCCACCTCAGGGTCTTCGAGTACGTTCTTTACTGTCCCTGCGTTGACCTTTACGTTCTCCATATGTTCATACGGCTCGACATAGCCGAGAAGCTGATTTTTCTTCACGATCCGGTATTTGCTACTATGGTTCGCAATGACGATTTCAAAGTACTTTCCTCTGTGGTCCGTTACTCCTGCTAATGGTTGCACTTCCGTTTCCACTTGTGGGACCGGTGTGAACATCAGCTTGTTTTGAGCCGGGGCATATTTTCCCATCTTGACCTTTACGCGTGTGCAATTTGACGGTTTCAGTTTAATTCGTTGGTCACTGTAGACTTTGATCACGTCTTTGGACATTCTTGCTTTTTCCACTTTCAATCTTCTGACTTTAATATCCTTTTCTTTTTCTTCATCCACTTCGTCATCCTCATCCAAGTCCATTAAATCCTCTTGCTCCGAAAGGTCACTTACACCTGAATCTTCCGAAGTTGTTGAATTGTCGCTTGAACTCGTCCACTCTGAATCCGAATTACTGCTCTCATATTCCTGTACAGTAGCTTGACCTTTGTCAGCTTTTTCAATTGGGCGCTCATCAACTCCTTCGTCTTCTGATGAAAGGTCACTTTCGTTTTCCCGCGAATCGCTAAGTTTTTTCGCTTCCGAATTTTTGAGCAGAGGTTTGTCCCCTTCTTTTGCCTTTCGTCCATTTCGCGCGGCGACTCTTGGGTGACTCCTTGTTACCCGAATTCTCGTCGGTGACCTTTCTGATTGATCGGAGTTTGACCTTTCTTCGTCCGATTTTGACTTTTCCAGTTCATTTATTTCTTCAAGGCTCGTTAATGGCTTTTCGGTCCACTCGACCGGCGGACATTCCTCACCGTTATCGAGTGACCTTTCCCCGTTTTTTGCCTCAGTTACTGGGTTTTGCTGTTCATTCGATATTCGTTCAACTTCTTCTTTAAACTTCTTCCACATTTCGCCTCTGTCCGTTAACATCTGCGCAATGTCGAAAGCCGACTTTGAACTTTCTTCTGTTTCGTTCGATTGTCCTTCGGCTATCTCTTGAGCTGGTTCCTCTTTCTCTGCTTCTTTGACAGTCCCTTTATTGGTTTCATCCTGTTGAACTGTTTCGTAACCTTTAGGTCGGTTAGGACCAACAAAGATGCAGTTTGCCATCAGCTCTTCGGTGACCCATTCATCATTTGGAATCGTTTCATACATGCACCATGTATCACCGCCTCGTTCGGGGTAGTCCACTCCATCTGGATCTGGTGCAAAGGTCACCTTTTTCTTTTGCACTAATCCCGGTAACCTTCTTTTCCGGGTAACCTGTAGTTCTCGCATCTCTTTTACGTCAAATTTGGGGATTTCTTCCTCGAATTTCTTCCAGTATTTCTCGAATGCTTTTTCGTTTCCCTCTTTTAACGCGTTGTAGTACACTTCAAGTGATTCGTAGACGGGTGTGCCAAGTCCTGCCGGGAAAATAATCGTTCTCCCTTCTCCTTTATACATGTGGTTCACACGGAAGTCCCAGAAAAGGTCAACTCTCGCTTCTTCCCACATTTCTCCTTCCTCGGTCATTTCTTCTATCTCTCGTTCAAATCTCCTTTCTGTTGCTACCGGATCGAGAGGATCTTGGATTCGTTTCTCGACACGTTGCAACCAGTGGTTTAGCCATCTGCCTCTTCCAATTATAAAACTTTCTACACATGACAACCACGTTCGATATCTATTCCAATGATACCGTTCGATGTGTGGTTTCCACATTTCGTTTGTCCGCATGATGCTTTTCGCTTTCTTTTGGGCATGACCTTTAAGGTCTGCTAATGCGGCATTACATCTTGGCCATTCTGAAGGGTCATCTTGAGAGGCATTTTCACAACACTCCGCGCATTCCCATTGTGGTTGCACTCTGCACGGATCCTCAAAGTAACCGTGGTGACAACTCCCGGCTCGTTCTTCTGGAGTTAATGTCCTTTGACTCGCTTCAGGTTTAACCTGTTCCTGTACTGTGGTATCTTCCTCACATTCGATTGGAGTCACGCTTTTATCCTCAGAGGATATTTCAATAACCTCTGGTTCTTTTTCTGTTCGGTGACCTTTCAATTGTTCGAGTGCCTTATCGCGGATTTCGCTTGTAAACATCTGTTCCTCTTCAACTATTCGTTTCAAAACTCGTAACCTTTCACTCTTTTTATCCTTCCCCACTTTAGCCGTCTTTATTTCCAGTGCCTCTGGTACTGGGATAGGCTTTGCCCACTCCATGTCTGGCACAAGAGATTGTTTCGCTGCAACTGCCGCTTCTTTCTGTGTGGCAATTATCTCTTCAATCGTTGGTGACCTTTCGGTAGCAGGTCGTGGTTCGAAAAAGGGTTCCTTTTGAGATTCACTTTCTGTTACTTCCTCTTTGGTTTTATCTGAAAGCCTTTCATTTTGGGTAGCAGATCGTGGTTCGAAAAGGTTCGAATTACGCTCTCGTTCCAAGTTCTCAGTTGCTGGTGACCTTTCGTCTTCCTTTCCCAGTGCC